CCAACTGCCACCATCATCACCAACACCATTACCATCACCAACACTACCAACACCATCACCAACACCACCATCATCACCAACACCATCATTACCACCACCACCACTGCCACCATCATCACCAACACCATTACCATCACCAATATCACCAACATCATCACCACCACCACCATCATCATCATTTCACAATCGTGAAACAACAACGGTCACTCTCTGAGTGCCAGCTATGCCTCTGGCCTGGTCTTAAATACTTTTCCTACGCTTTGTCATTTCACACAGCAGTTCCCAGACTATTGGATATCATGGACCAGTAACACTTAGAAAAATGGGCTTGACATAAGACTGTCAACTTTTTACTTTGCCAAGTAAGATCATTAAAACCAACCAACCAAAAAGCAAACAAACAGTCTAGCAACCAAAAACTTAAAAAAAAAAAAAAGAAGATAATATTAAAAAGTGCCAGGCAGGGGCGCCTGGGTGGTTCAGTGGGTTAAGCCGCTGCCTTTGGCTCAGGTCATGATCTCAGAGTCCTGGGATCGAGCCCCGCATCGGGCTCTCTGCTCTCTAGGGGAGCCTGCTTCCTCCTCTCTCTCTGCCTGCCTCTCTGCCTGCTTGTGATCTCTCTGTCAAATAAATAAATAAAATCTTAAAAAAAAAAAAGTGCCAGGCAGGGTGAGAAAAATAAACAGAAATGGTCAGCATTTTATCTAAAAAGGACATTTTGAGGTCATAGAGAAGAAATGTAATCTCAGCATAAAAGCAATTTTAACAAATTGTAAACTTAAATTTTATGCAAACACACTAATCCTAGCTTCACTTTCCTCGTTGTATGCAAACAAGGGCAAACAGCTGTGGGGCTAATATGAGAGTTCTTCACTTAATTCTTGGAGGGGTGTATTTTCCAGTGCCCCCATTTTGGCGGGGGGTGGGGAGACTGAGGTTCAGAGATGTTGCCTCACTGCCAGGCAGTCTCATAGGTAGGTAGTAAGAGGCGAGGCCAGGGTCCCACAGAGCCTGCCTGACCCCAAGCTCAGCTGTTAACCAGTTCAATGCAGACGTCAATTTCCAAAGGCCCCCGCCTTCCGTCCTGGGACTCCCGAATGCTCTGACTCTGGCTGTCTCTGCAGCATGATTCAGAACCTTCTGGCCGTCCAAGCCTCTTATCTCTGCCAGCGGCTGCAGCTCTTATCTGTCACTCACTAGTGCAAGGTATGATGGAGGGGAGCTAGCAGGCACCCAGGCTCTGGCACATTTCCCCCTTCTCTTTCCACCCCATCCTCAAGCCCATTACCAGCCTCACTTGCCTCGGCCGCAGGGAGGGGACAGAGCTTTGGGTAATGGTCTGGGTCTCAAAAATGATGGAGTGACCGGAGAGGAGAGATGGAAGGTGAGATTGGCTAGAACGGCTCTCTATCTTTGAAAACAGAGTCAGAAAATTATTAAAAAGCTGCAGGGAGCAGAACAGGAACAGAAATGGCCCCTGAAACTAACAAAAAGATGTTCAACCTCCATCACAATGAAAGGCCAATCACAACAAGACAACGTTTACACATCAGAACTGCCAAAGACTTTCATGTCTGATCAGGCACAGCGCTGGCCGGAGTGAGGGGGAGGGGAGGTGTGCCCCCAGATCTGCAGGCAGAAGTGCAGAGTGGTCTGGCCTTTGGGGCAAAATCTATCAAAATGAGAACAGGCAAGCCTTTTGACCCAGAGGCTGCACTCCTGCGAGCTGGCCTCTTAGATATGCGGCAATAATGTGGCCAACCAAACCAAGCCAAACAAACAGGTGTAAGGATGCTCAAGGTAGCCTTGCTTCCAATGGCAGAGAGAAACACACAACCGGAAACAACCCAGACGTCCGTCGAGAATGCAGCCGCAGGACGAACGAGCAGCCCCTGTCTGTCCGAGACAGAATGGTCTCCGAGATGCACGAAGCACGGAAAGGAAGTGGAAGCTGGAGAGGGCGAGATGCTCATGGAAACAGCAACGCACGGAGGGAGGAAGCTGAGCAGTGCCCCAGCTAAGCGTCAGGGACCGGAGTGATGCCGGATGGTTATGGCTCTTGATAAGCTGCCACGTTCGGATGCGGGCTGCCACACCCTTTGTTTGATGTGTACGATCATGTAAATCAACCCAGTAAAAATAATTTCAGTTTGTGGACCAGGAAAAAAAAAAAAAAAGAAGAGCGTAAATGGTATGATACCATGTGGGTAAATGAAACAGTATACACATTTGTACATATTTGCATACGCACGGATCACACTTACGGAAAATGTATATATTTGCATACGATACAAGTACCTAAAATGTATCTATTTGCATATATATCATATAGGCACATAAAACGTTTTCCAGACGGGGCTACTCGATGGATACCTGTTACCTCCCTTTTGGGAGAAGTGCTGGGTGGGGAGAGAGGGAAACTTCTATTTTTATGTCTTTCTGTGCCATCAGAATTTCTTTTATTGTATGCATATATTGCCTTTATTTTAAAAATAAAATGTAAAAATGCACTTTGAGCATATAATTTAAGTATACATTATAAAACAGACACCAGGGACTCATTGGATGCGGGTCTGTTTGCTGATGTCAGTGATGCGTGGTGAAATTTAAACTTTAATAAAAGTAGATTTCTGCAGAAGGCTCTATTTCTATTTGTTTCAGCCAGGAACCCCTGGGGCCCCGGGGAAGGTCAACTGGCTGCAGGCTGGCCCCTCCCCCAAGGCCAGAAGAGGGGCACTGGTCCTGGGTCTCCCTTCAGTCCCCCTGTAATTGAGGCCAGACGCTCCCTGGCCTGGCAAAGCCGGGTGCAGTCTCCTCTCCATCCTCTAGCCTCCCTCTCCTCCCCGCCTGGGAGACCTATTTCTGGGTGGATGGCAACATTATTTAAAGTAACAGTTCCGCCCACTGCCTTTCCTACCAGGGAAGCCCGCTCACTCCACCCCAATTGCAGCTTCGGTCTCCCTGCCTCCCAGGCGGGTGGACGGGGCAGCTGGCCAGCATCTCAGCTTGCAAATCTAGCGTGTTGTACGCAGCCTTGGTAATGACAGTAGCCACACTCGTTATCCGTGAAGTGCTCCCTTCTGGCCCCTCTGGACACACTCCACCCGCAGAGCCGTCTGCCCCACCCACCTGCAGCCGCTGACCTGGCAGGGAAGTGGAGGAGCCTGGCCCTGGCTGGGTCCCCTCCAGGGGCACGGGGATGGATGGACTGCCCTACACCTGATCCGCCCAAGGGGGAGCATGGCATTGGAGACAGCACTGGAGCCTCCGACTCAGAAAAATTTAGGCTTGACTTTTCCCTCTACTCTTTCTTTCTCTCTCTTTTTTAAAAAGATTTTATTTATTTATTTCAGAGATCGAGAGAGAGAGAAAGAGAGAGTGAGAGAGAGAGCACGAGCAGTGGGGGAGGGACAGAGGAAGAAACAGATTCCCCACGGAGCAGGGAGCCTGGACCCTGGGATCATGACCTGAGCAGAAGGCAGACGCTTGACTGACTAAGACAGGTGCTCCTCCCTTTTACTCTTTCTTAGGAATGTGGGCTGGGCCCATTATGGAACCTCACAAGCCTCAGTTTTGCTGTCTGTAAAATGGGGACAATGATGCCGTCTTTGATGGGCTCACCATAAGAGGCCCCAGACATAATCGCCAGC